AAGAGCTATTGTTCTACTTTTTTCGCTATTTGGTTCGTTATGGTGTCGAGTCTTGTACCAAGGAAGGAATTTTTTCTGTACCGCTTACAAAAAAAGTTATTGTAAAAAAAACAAAAAACCGTTTTTTACATGTTCCATAATTTTACACTTTTGCCGTTTATTAACGATCCTAGAGATCGTTTATAATTTTGCATTGCTATCTGTCGCCTGCCGGTTGGTCTCTCCGTCTGTTCCTTTGTCTGTCTGTCCATCTATCTGTCCGTGTGAACGATAACTTTGTTTAGAAATGTTCGATCGCTTTTACATCTCCGTTAGTTATGAACTGAATTGCATGAAATTCAATATGGGCATAGATTTAGCCATATAATACGCAATGCCAAAAGTTGAATCGAATCGATTCAAAATTCACAGTGCCCTTTTCGCATCTCGACCATTTATAAACCGAATTGCAAACTTTTTTACTTATAAAAGTATTTGAATGAAATTTGATACATAGGCACTTGGAATAAAGGAAAATCAAACGCCAATTTCAAAATTTGGTTTTGCGCATGCGCAGTGCCAACTTTTTTATTTATGGAAGAATTTAAACGAAATTTGATACATAGGCACTTGGGATAAAGGAAAATCAAACGCCAATTTCAAAATTTGGTTTTGCGCATGCGCAGTGCCAACTTTTTTATTTATGGAAGAATTTAAACGAAATTTGATACATAGGCACTTGGGATAAAGGAAAATCAAACGCCAATTTCAAAATTTGGTTTTGCGCATGCGCAGTGCCAACTTTTTTATTTATGGAAGAATTTAAACGAAATTTGATACATAGGCACTTGGAATAAAGGAAAATCTAACGCCAGTTTCAAAATTTGGTTTTGCGCATGCGCAGTGCCAACTTTTTTATTTATGGAAGAATTTAAACGAAATTTGATACATAGGCACTTGGGATAAAGGAAAATCAAACGCCAATTTCAAAATTTGGTTTTGCGCATGCGCAGTGCCAACTTTTTTTATTTATGGAAGAATTTAAACGAAATTTGATACATAAGCACTTCGAATAAAGGAAAATCAAACGCCAATTTCAAAATTTGGTTTTGCGCATGCGCAGTGCCAACTTTTTTATTTATGGAAGAATTTAAATGAAATTGTGATACATAGGCACTTGGAATAAAGGAAAATCTAGCGCCAGTTTCAAAATTTTATTTTGCGCATGCGCCGTGCCAACTTTTTTATCTATGGAACTATTTAAGTGAAATTTGATACTTAGGCGCTTGGAACAAAGGAAAATCTTAGTTTATTAGTTAGTTATAGTAAATTAGTTTTAAAATTTAGGTTTGCGCATGCGCAGTTCCAACTTTCTTATTTAGAAAAGCATTGAAATGAAATTCTTCTCATAAACTGAAATTGAAGTAGCACGTCAACAATGGATTGCCCATGTGCAACGCTATCTTTCATATTTGTGGCCGGATTTTTACGATTTTAACAGAAGTTGCATCTTACAAATGGGAAATGAATGCAAGTGGAAATGCGCTTTATGTAAATCGTTTACGATTACTTTTTAACTTGTTTTTCTTTGCGGACAATTTTCAGCTCCTGGTTGATCCTTCTTTCTTTCGTTTTCCAATATAAGCTAAAACCGCCTTTGGTGTTAAATCCTGAACTAGGTCTTCATCGGAGAAAATAGTGGGCAGCAAAAGCAGAATAGAAACACTTTCGGGTGCGAGTACACCATCCACGACCGTAGGATTATTTCAGCATTTGATAGTTCGCGATAATAGAGCTAGTCATGGGTTAATTTTCTCGTTTCTCCTTTAGCTGAGGTGCCTGAAGGACCGACTTCTGCGAATTCACTATGTAAGTACCGAACAGCAGCTGAGCGTTGTTTCACTAGGACCGTCCTAAGACGATCCGTTATCGCATCCGGTCATCCACCCGCATCCTTGAAATCGGTATGAGGTCTACAGGTCAGCCTGACACCTGTGCAGCTGACTGAACACTTACCTACTTGTCGAGGGGACTGGGCAAATAAGTTTAATACAGTATATACAGTATGTAGGTTTATAGGTTTGTAGGTTGGTAGGTTTTTAGGTTTACAGGTCTACAGGTTTACAGGTTTGCAGGATTACAGGTTCGCAGGTTTACAGGTTTATAGGCTTATAGGTTTATCGGTTTATAGGTTTACATACAGGGCCGGATTAATGCATAAGCAAACTAAGCACGTGCTTAGGGCACCAGTCAAATTAGGGCACCATCAGCCAAAAAATAATGAGAAAATGAGAAAAAAATAAAAAAGAAAGAATTAATTTTAATTTTTGAAAAAAACCTTAAATAAATAATTTATTAAAGCAATATTAAATACTGTTGGTTTAAACAAGTATGTTTGAATCACGGTATAAGATAGTAAGGTAGTCCAACAAGCGCGACATCCGTGTCTCCATCGATGCGACGGTCACTGTGCGACAGAGACAACATGAAGCGAGCGCAGTCCATTGCACTCGCTCTCACGGATTCCGCATAAGAAAGTTTCCAGGGCATCATACATGATCTGTAGGATTAATTCCCACAAAGAAATGCTTCGGCGAAAGTGTGATCATACAGTGTTTTTTTATAGTAGAGTAGAATACAGATGCAATTTAACCACATAAAAGTTTATTTACCACTAAAAAACATTAAACAACACAAACACAATATTTATAGGTACATAGAAATCTACATACAGGGTGACAATTTGAAAACTTACCACCCCCCATATCTTAGTAAATAAACGAGATATTAAAAAAAATCAAAATCCGTTTCGGTAATTTGGAGGGGGAATCACAATGACATAGTTGGCGACGCACCCCCTCCAACCCCCTGCGCCCCAGCCACCCCAACTTTTAAATCTTAAATAGTGACCCCCCATGTGTGATACGTCGTTGGAAAGCTCTGAAAAAATGCTTTCCAACCATACCAAATAGCATTACATTTAGGTTAGTAATTATCGTGCAAATCAAAAAATAAACATGGAAAATCGTATTTAACTTGAACTTCCAAAGCCGACTCGACAGCAACTCATTTTTGATCGCCAGTTATAATCTATTCTCAAACTCTTGTCGAACCTTTCCTATGTTGGTTTTGCAATTTTTCGACATTTTTGAATTATTCTCTCTCTTAGTTCGTCTAATGTTCGCCGGTTGCGTTTTAAATACGACAGATTTCAAATGTATCATATTAGTTTATTTTTTGATTTGCACGATAATTACTAACCTAAATGTAATGCTATTTGGTATGGTTGGAAAGCATTTTTTCAGAGCTTTCCAACGACGTATCACACATGGGGGGTCACTATTTAAGATTTAAAAGTTGGGGTGGCTGGGGCGCAGGGGGTTGGAGGGGGTGCGTCGCCAACTATGTCATTGTGATTCCCCCTCCGAATTACCGAAACGGATTTTGATTTTTTTAAATATCTCGTTTATTTACTAAGATATGGGGGGTGGTAAATTTTCAAATTGTCACCCTGATGTATTTGAAGTCGCAATTCTTTTTTCTTTTCCGCTGATTGCCGCTTGTACCCCATTTCTTCCTGTTGGCAATATTGTTTGATTCTCATTATTGCATAAAAATATATGGTTTGTGCAACAATATCGTCCTTATGCTCGCTACAATTAAAAGTAAAGGATAATCCTTGCTTGTCAACTTCGTCTATAATGAATGGCTTCGAAAACGTCCACAGATGTTATGTGTTTCATTTCATACAGATGTCCTCCAATAATCCAATTTTCTTAAAAAGTGAAACATACTTGTTTCTGGACGACATAAAAATCCTTTAGATTCCAATTCGGTTACTCAGCTTCTTCCATCGGAATTAAAGCTTCTTTGAAATACAAATTTTCTCAGCACGTATTGCATCGGTTTAATTTAAACAGTTTTTTGCTAATAAAACCTGCTAGAAAATATACACTAAGATCTCCTACAGACCTACACCATCAAACAAGTCCGAACAATCTTCCTGTTCCAACAAATTGTCCAACTTTTCCTTAATCAAATTTAGGTGCTTCTGACGCCCATCGTCGATAAACAAATTTTTAAAATCGTCAAGAGAAATTGTTGGAGTCAGTTTTTTTTCAATAGGCAGGCAGTTTCCGTATGCTGGTGGTTTCAAAATACTATATAAAGAAAGTAAACGGTATAACTGGAGAAACGAATAAAGTGTAGGGTGGTCATTAGCACCTCCAGCTTGGCGAATAGTACCAAAAACCGCTGAAAATGATACCTTAGTTAAAAAATAAAATTTAAGGCCCTAAGATTCTGCAAATAAAATACAATTTTTATTAAACGAGCATGCAGCAAATAAAACATTCGTAAGCACAAAATGTTTAGCGCAAACATGATCTTTTGTGGTTAACTGTTTGTCTTTTCGCGGGATAATTTTACTCCACTTTTCTAACTTGCTTTCCGGGATTTTAAAAAGCGATACCTTTTCTGCATTGCTTTCGTAGCCTGCGTTACAATTAGGTACGCAACATCTCCTTCCCATTATTGGCACATAAACGAATAGATACACCTACACCACAAAACGGACAGCACCTTTACAACCCAATACTACTGCAAACCCGTGAGTACGACAGAGATGGCTATGGCCGGCCTCAAGCTTTCTTTGTCGTGCAGCAAGCGTTGCATGATCGGGGACAACCATCTCCGCCTGAATCGACAGTCGTCGGATCACCTCTTATTCTTACACCGTGGTTTAAATATATTAATAATTTCGAAATAATGCAAAATATACTGTAATATATCTTCCACTACTTACCCTGTATATATGTGTTACACCTAAGTTTACTTGTTCTTAGGTTGGCACGGCTGATATACAAAATGGCCGAGTTGTAAACATTACGCTATTATTGTTAATATTGAAATTAAAACTTAAGTTGGATTCCTCTAAGCCTAACTTATTTACAACAACTGGCGCAGTCGGTCGATGAAGTTGATGGGTATATTCGTGTGTTCATTCGTGCATACGTGTTACCATGGAAGGAATGGAAGCTATGCAGCTCGCGATGACTCGCATGGCCGAAGCCATTGCGGCACTAGCTCAGAATCAACATCAGCCTAACCAGAATCTGCAATCTGAGGAGCCCTTACAGCGACCTCAAGGTATTCCAAATTTTCCCCGATATACAGAGGGCGAAAATATTGAAGATTTTTGCAGTCAATTTGAATGACTCGCTTCAATACACGATTACAATGAAGCCCGACAAAAGGCCTCATTTCTGGCTCTACTACCCACTACAACGTATCAACTACTCAAAAACTTGATCTTTCCGGAGACAGTAGCTACGCGGTCATATGCGCAGATTAAGACTACACTCATTGGGCACATGCGGCGGCGGGCCTTTGCGAATTCCTTCAAGACACGCTCTGTGCTCTCGTCGACAAAGGGAAGGAGAAAGCATTCCTGAATACTTAACGTCGTTACGAGCGTTAGCGATTCCATGCGGATATGATGCTAATACACTAGCAGAAGTCCTTAAAGACATTTTCGTTGCTGGAATCCGTGCGAAATCGATACTCGATCAGGTATTTACAATGCCTGACACCTCTACACTAGAAGAGCTTTATGCAAAAGCTGTGGCAATAGAGAGAGCAGAAGCAAGTTCAATGCAAATGCTAGCTGATAGTAAAATGACATCTACAGTCAATAAAGTTACTAAAGTGAACACTCAACAGCCACAAAAATCCAAGCAACCTACGACGACTAAATCTGATAAACCAACGTGTTTCCAGTGCGGAAAAATTGGTCACAAAAGTCCAGAATGCAGAATAGACAAGTCCAAACTGAAATGTACAAGTTGTGAACGTTCTGGTCATGTAGCAACTGTATGCAGACAGAAGAAGGAGGAAATTCACCACATTGATGGAGAAGGTGCACCTTGGACTGCTACAATTGACGTGCAAGAAGCCGCTTGAGTTCGAGCTCGATACAGGGTGCGAGTACACTATTGTTCCTGTCAGTGTGTTCCAGACCTTACGTACTGATCTCAAAAAAAGTGACAAGCTGTTCCAACCGTACGGTACCTCTGCTACGATACCAGCGTTGGGCATGTCGACCGTGAAAGTGCGCTACAAGCATAAAAAGTTACATTTGGACATCTACGTTGTTCAAGATCCAGCAGTGTCAATTCTGGGTGGAGAATGGTTGCACAAGTTGGGCATCTACATCCCTGTGAATCACGTTTATCAAGTCAAAGCTGGTCAACAGTATATGAAAGACTTAGAAAGTGAATTTCAAGATGTTTTTGCAGAAGGGATTGGTTGTGCACATAAGTCAGTGTCAATCAAATTCAAAGATAATGCTAAACCAGTGTTCATGAAACATCGATCAGTGCCATATGCGTTAAAGGACAAGATCGAAACTGAATTGGACAGAATGGTGAAAGATGGAATTCTAATGCCAGTTGAACACAGTCAGTGGGCTACACCAATTGTACCTGTCGTGACGAAAGACTCGGTGCGAATTACCGCCGACTACTCGTGTACAGTGAACCCACAGTTGGAAGTTCCGTCATACCCATTGCCGAAAATCGAGGAACAATTGGCTAAAATCTCTAATGGTCGATTATTTTGCAAACTCGATATTACAAAGGCATATTGGTGTCTTCCAGTAGATGAAGCGTCGGCAGCTGCGCTGACCATCAACACTCATAAAGGTTTGTTTCGTCCCACACGTTTGATGTTTGGATGTGCTTCAGCCCCGGTCATATGGACCAAATTCATTGAAGAAGTGATCTCTGGAATAGAGGGTCTCGGAGGTTATTTCGATGACTTAGTGGTGTCTGCTAATGACGTCATTACTCTGAAATCACGCCTATCAGAAGTTTTACGACGCTTGCAAGCCAACGGTCTACGCCTGAACTTGCAGAAGTGTTCTTTCTTCGTGGACTCTGTCACATACCTGGGACATGAAATATCAGCAGCTGGCATCCGTCCTGCTAAAGATGGATTACAGGCCATTCAAGAGCTGCCACCACCTGCAAATGAGAGTGAATTGAAGAAGTTCCTGGGAATGGTGTCGTTCTATTCAAAATTCGTTCCTGGTATGGCCTCTACAGTCGCTCCATTAGTCGCTCCATTATACAATGCAACGAAGCAAGCAGTTCCTTGGAAATGGACACGTGAATGTGCTACAGCATTTCAAACGTTGAAGCAGCAGTTAACTTCGGACCATGTGTTAGTGTCATACAACCCACAGCTTCCGATTGTGCTTAGCTGCGATGCCAGTCCTGAAGGCTTAGAAGCTGTTCTCGCTCACCAGTATCCAGATGGTTCCGATCGTCTAATTTTATACATCCACAGAAAGTTGGACAATTGTCAAGTGAAATACTCACAAATTGATAAGGAATCATTGGCCATCAAATGGGCCGTTGAAAAGCTGAATATCTATCTTGTGGGCAGGCAATTCACTCTCATAACTGACCATGCCCCACTTATTCACATATTCGGCGTACGCAGAAAGAAATTACCAACTTTGTGTGCTACTAGATTGTTACACTACGCAATCTTTCTACAAGATTTTTCATTCACCATCAAATATCGCAAATCTGAAGAGCACGGCAACGCTGATTTCCTGAGTCGTTTACCACAACACTCGTCAGATTTACGTCAGGCTCCTACCTCAGATGATCCAGATGATCTAGTACAGCTTCACCACATCTCACTACTGCCGATGACTCACCAATCCATTGCGCAGCATACTCAGCGAGACATTCAATGGCGTGAGTGGCTACAGAAACTCCGCTCGGGCGAGACACTTGGTGAAAATGAAGATGGACTCTACTCATTGCAGTCGGGTTGTGTCATGAGGGGCTTGCGTACCTACATACCTAGTGCCTGTCGCCCTGCTGTGCTTGAAGAACTTCATACGGGACATCTAGGAATTTCGAAAACGAAGGCGTTGGCGCGAGGCTATGCATTTTGGCCTAAAATGCAAAATGCATGCAGACATTGAACATTTGTGCCGAAATTGTCACGCATGCAGCCTGCATAAGGGCCGCTCACCTTCATTGCAAACTCATTATTGGGAACACCCCAAGGAACCGTGGGAATGCATACATGACGATTTTGCGTTTTATGGTAAGAACACTTATCTCATAATTGTTGATGCCCATTCAAAATAGCCTGAGATAAAAATTGTACCAAACATGCTTGCGTCTACAGTGATAAATGTATTGGACGATTTGTTCGCGTCATACGGACTACCCTCGTACCTAGTTACGGACAATCAATCTACATTTGTGAGTGCCGTGATACAAGAATTTCTACAGAAACGTGGCATTAAGCATAGGACTATCGCACCGTACCATTGCGCCACCAATGGACTTGCAGAGCGGATGGTATCAGCAATGAAACTGTGCCTGCGTACGCTCAACCTCAATGAGGGTAATGCTCCAGAGAAATTACGTACATTCCTAGCAGCATACCGGCGTGCCCCACATCCTACTACGGGCGTAAGTCCAGCAATGGCGTTCCTTAAACGCAAAGTGAATACGCCACTAAGTTTACTGACAAATCCCAGTGTATCCCCTACAATTGAGAAACGCGCTCAATTGTCGTACGAATACCATGACCCAGTCTTTCCTGAGGGATCTAAAGTCGCAGTCAAGGACGGACCCTTACGTAAATGGAAGTTGGGATACGTGATATCAAGAGATGGGGAACTCTCCTATACAGTGATGGTGGATGGCGAACTAAATCGCAAACATGTGGACCAACTCAAGAAGGTGGGACAAGATGTGCCAATGACTCTAGCAGTAACGCCGTCTATTACTCCTGCGATTCCGGTTCCTGTTGCGACGCCTGCAGCATCCGGTCCTGCTCAATCTCCGCCGGACCAGCCTGAGCAGTCAACTCCAGTGCGGACGGGTATTGCTGAAACTCCGCGGGCTCCTGTGTCAGATCGACCGCCTCCAAGCTTCGCAGCTCAGTCTACTCCGCCTCGGTCGGCTCGTGAGAAGCGCATCCGCCGTCCAGTTATTCGCTACTCTCCTTAGTTTTTTTTTTGCTTTCTATGAGGGAAGGGATGTAATATATCTTCTACTACTTACCCTGTATGTATGTGTTACACCTAAGTTTACTTGTTCTTAGGTTGGTACGGCTGATATACAAAATGGCCGAGTTGTAAACATTACGCTATTATTGTTAATATTGAAATTAAAACTTAAGTTGGATTCCTCTAAGCCTAACTTATTTACAACATATACACTTTGGCAAATATTACTTACTGACAAATCAAAATATGCTGGCCTCCAACCCTAACCGGTAACATGAGTTTTCCGAAATACGGGCCTCGCACTGACGACTTTTCTAAAAGTCTCGGGAACACTTAAGCAACTAAATTGTCACCCGAGAACAAGGAGGCATAGAAATCTACGTCAATGTGAAATACATGCACTGACACTCGAACTAAAACACGTATTCGAAATGAATTTTATAGATTATGCAAATACCAAGACGGTGTCCAGTACCAATCGAATTTCTTATTCAACCTGTTTGCCATCAAACATCCAACAACTACCATTCTGTGCTTTTAAGTCTTATGTAACAAACCTGCTAGTCATGAACGCTTTTTATACATTTGACAATTATGTTATTTATTGTAAAAGTAATGTGTGATATTTTTGTAGGCATTTATATATTTTGTATTTTTTTATTTGCTGGTATTATTTAGTGTATGACAATTGTAAGTGAAGCATCACATGAGCACAATAAATTATTATTATTATTAAATGAGTGACAAAGCTACTGAAAAATGCTTTCAAGTGGTACCAATAAAGTCACAATTTAACAAAAATTTAATAATTAACGAAAACAAAACTAAGGTTGACATTGAGGGATTTATGGCAAATTGGCCAAGAACTTCAACCTGAGCTGCTTCATTAAGGAATTTTGGTTGGTTTCTTTTTTATTGATAACAGATCCCGTTTCTTCCAATTTAGCGACCAAATCTTTAACATAAGCATGGCTTACATTTCTCCCCGGATGTCTCTCAGAACGTTTTAGCTGTTCTAAAAGATGATCGATTTTCGGAGCCATAAATGAATATTATTTCCACACATTCGGCTGTACTGTAAGTCAAAATTCAAAAAATTCAAATTTCAAATACTTGACAGATATCTCCAAACAGGTGGAGCAATCCCTAACTTTAAAGTTAGGTACTAGAATCTGGTAACATTCTCTCTCTAACATACGGGCCCAATGGATTGTGGTACTTTCTATATCTAGTGACTTTGCCCTTAACGTCCAATTTGATTATTTATTCCAACATCCAAAGAAAATACCCATACATAATTAAATATTTAAGATTCTGCTAATATTGTTATTATTACAGTGAAGTGCCCACTTCTTCATTACACAAAAGAAGGACTTCGCAACAACGCTAAACGAGATTTACACGCAACTGCAATATCCGCGTAGGTAAACATTGCCTTTAAATTAAATTTCTTTGTGGATATCCGTGACATGCTACGTTCGTTCGGCATGTTTTACATTCAGACCTTTCATACTCTCATCATTTTAATACAAAAGGGTACACCACGGTTCTAAATTAGTCAAGAATTTCAGGTTTACAATTTACTAAAAGCTTTGAGGGTTTTAAATTACGCAGGCTTTCAATAGGGACTGTAAATCCTGGATTGCCCAGCCAGACATTTGTTAATTGAAAAATATTGCAATATTGTCGTAAAGGATGCCTTTTTAATTGGAGTGATATATGAACGTTCAACCCCTTAATTATACATATCGCTATTCCAAAAGTAACAAATGGATCGCTTAACAAAATTCCGAAATACTTCCGTTCCTAATTAACCCTAATTGGACTAACGCGGAACTTGTAGGTTCGTATTCAAAAGGCGAAGGATAATATTTTGTTCCAGATAAAATAAAGTTGAAAATTTCAACGCTGCGTCAACCCTTCGTAAGGGTAAAAACTAAATCACATATTGTATAGAGGGTGAAACAGAGAGGGATTGAAATGGCTTAAAAGAACACTCGGTGGGAGTTCCCGTTACTACGTTCGAAGGGGAAAATAAGGGTGACAAGAAAGTAGGGCACTAGGTGGGCATGGGTGGACATTCAGGAGTGAGGATTCTAAAGAACAACGCAGTATCCATGTGCACAATTTTATAAGGAAGCTTTAAATGAAATTCTTTGCCGATAAATTATGAAAATCTATATTGGTGATGCTACTGGAACTTTTGAATGGACAAGATAAAAATCAACATTCAAAATGAAACTTTTTTTTACAAGAGATGCTATAATACCATCTCTTCATCTTTCTTCTTCTGTTGGAGGTGTGAGTATTTTACCCAAGCACTTCGCTGGATGGACCTCAGTACAGTTTCTGTTTTAGTGGTCCTCATTAATAAACTCGGTTTAACGTATGATTAGATACTTGCTTGATTAGTGAAAATATGTTTGTAGTTCTTTCCTTTATCCTTGGAATTTTTGCTATATTTGCAAATGTTCTGCTTTAGCACTACTTGTTTAATAACAAGTATAGTTAAATATGTAAAAGTATTGCAAACCGATAGACATTGACACGTATGAAGAGTTTGGAGGCAATTTACCGAATAAGCCATATTTGAGCAATACAATCCAAGGGTTATTAGTTTACAATGCGGACATGATGTCTTACAAAAGATGAGAGTCGTGCCAGTAGCGTAAATGTGAAATCTTTACTGCGTGGTTTATAGTAGCATACAGCAGATACAGTGGCGCTAACACCAGTAAATTAAAATAAGAAAAAGTACCTTTTAATACCCTTTGCGTGTTAAACACTTCTCTTCTAATAAACATTATTTGAGTTAAAGTGCCTAATGTGATATGGGCAAAAAAACGAAAATTGAGGATAAATTTCAGGTCGAACAGCTATAGACGCCCTGAGTTCAGTTAAGGCGGCGCCATCAGTATTGTGGGTTGCCTATCTCACAATAGCTTTCTTATCGGAAACATGTCTAATAGGCCGGGCGCTAAAGGGTTTGAGCATGCATTGAAAGTCTAACGCAGTTTGACTTTTGATTATTGTTGGGAGCATATAGTAGATGAAAAAATCGATGTCGTCGCATTTCCGCGGTGGGCATCACATGAGGAGGAGGGGGCAAAGTAGCGCGTGTGGCGATTCACTTTATCGTTTCTAACTCAAAGACGGTAATAGTTAGAGCAATGCTTGAAGCGGCTATTTACAGCTACTTATATTGCCTACAAAAAAGGCCCTAAGGATAAAAGTCGTACCTCTAACCGTTTTGTTACAAATAAATTATTTTAAAATATATCTAAATTCGATGGAAAATCATATTTGATGCACATTTTTTATATGTGTAAGATAAATTTAATAATGTATGTTACTACATAAATATATATAGTTTTATATAGTCAATTTTACAATTTTCCAGCACGTACTTGGGCACCCAGTCACAAATCTTTTTCGCCTTCGCTCTCTTCGTCAGACTCTTTAGTTTGTAATGGATTTCTGCATTTATCAACACATTTGCAATAAGAACAATAAGAAGAATTATTTGATACACAGCTATATGTTTTTTGGAGCAGTTTTTGCATTTGCAGGGCTGAACTGCTTCGAGATTTGCATAACATCAATGCTGACGAGCATTGCATGAGTACCATTTTTACCCTTTACGTTCATAAATTGTTCGGAATACGCCAGGTGTAGATACATCAAAAATTGATGAATCATTATTCATCACTCTGAAGATTACCAAAATTACTTCCCGATGGATATGCAGACATTTAATGTTGGAACTAATTCGAGAGGACATTACTAAAACTGATGCCATTATGTGAGAAGTCATTTCTGCGGAATAACGTTTGACTCTATTACTTAAACATATTTAGTGATCGGTCAATCTTTTGAAGATTTAAACATAATTCTTACATTATGCCAATTAAAATCAGATGACAATACTTATGTACTTTTATAATTACTCTTATAACATA